CCTCCGGAAATGCCCAGCCTTGACTGCATACCTACCCCCAGCGCCGTGGTTGAGGAGTGAGCCAGAGCTGACAGAGGACTGTCATTGTAGCGATGATTAGTGTTTTGATTTTTCACATTTCTTTGATGTTGAGTTTCAGGATTTAAAATTTCGATGTGTATTAAAGAGATCCCAGAGTGACTGGAGACAAATGCATGTCTTCATATAATTTACATTTATTGAATTAATAGAAATCTTCCAAATGCAAACTTGCAATGACAGTTTTTCCTCTTGACTTGTAGCCTAACCTTAATCCAAAACTATCTGGGATGAAATGAACCTTAAATGGAGCCACTGCTCTTTCTCACAGCAGATGATTCATCCTCCTGTATTCTGCCATGTGTAAAGGATTAATGTGGATTAGCTCTTGTAATTCAAATTCTGTCTGTTCTTTTTATGTTTACTCTGAAAAATAGATGGAGACCTCTTGGCAGCTACTGAGGTGGTTGTCCATTAATTCTTGCACCCTTGGACCACATTTCTACACCGTGTAAACCTTTATGTGTCAAATAGCAGTGATGTTTAAAAAAACAGCCTTCAGCATCTCAGCTACAGTGGCATTTCCATTTAATTAATTATATTTTATTTGTATTTTAACTCTTAATAAGATGTCATTTGGACATAGGAATATGTATTACAGTAATAAGGATTAGGTAATGAACTGCAAAAAAAGGCACACTCTTGATAAATATTAATCCATCAAAAAAAGAATAAATGAAAGCACAAATGAGTAAAAAATGCACTTTACACACATGGTTACATTGCACTAATTTTTCTTGTGAACTTTTGTGTTGCTTGCAGAAAAAGCCCAATGTAGCTCTAGACAATCAAAAGCCCTGGTGTGTACCTGTGAATTTACTCGACCCTCCAGAAAATGCAATACTTCACCACGTACGGTAGATAAATGTATACTGTTCCTTCCATGCCTCTGGAGGATAAAGCTCCTTGAACATATAGCAGGTCACTATATTCCCATCTCTAATTAAATGTTTTGATATAGCCACCAGAGGCTTGTATTTCTTTATCATTTTTAATTTATATGCAAAACTCATGGGAGGATATTCGGTTCCCAGTCTGTCTCCACGGCTGCTTGCACATCCTCTGCTTTGTATGACTGGAAAACCAGCATCTCACCGTGAGCTGCTGAATGTCTCCTACTCGAAATGTCAAATCAGAGCAAGATTTAAGCAAGTCCCAAGTATCCCCACTTTCTCCAGAGCTCAATCTGCCAAACAGCAATAATGCATCTAGCCGCTTTGCACACGATGGTATTATGTGTAAACGGAGCAGGACCAGAGATTTAAGGCACATCAGCAGCGCTGGGGGTCTTTGCAAAGCTTGCTCCCCTCTGACCCACCAGGCTACACAGCAGTGCAGATGTAGTTGCATTAATCCCACGCTGCAAACCCGGTTTTTGATCCTATTGGCAAAGCCTCAATTTACAAGTATTCCCTGTATAGAATATTCAGGCTTCTTTCTCTGGTAACTGAAGCTGTATCTTTTTACTGCTACAGATCCCTTAATCCTCTGCTTTCTTGCACTTCTTGCAGAGCCTAGAAATTGTCACCTTGGGGGGGGGTGTGGATTTTCCCCAGGGAATGTTGTGCCCCAAGCTGCTGAAAGAGCTGCTTGATGCGTGGGTCCACCTTTTATCTCATCTGCAGCCTCGTTTCATTTATGCACATGTACCCCTCATTCCCACCCAGCCCTGCAGCTGCCAGGAGCCCCCAGCCCCCATGGTGTCACCTGTCCCCTCTCCCCATGGGGATCTTCCATCCCCCAGGAATGTGGGTCTTCCTGGGACCTCTGCTTGCCAGCTCACAGTTTGTTTTCTATGTTTGCAAGAGCAAAGATGTGATGGGACCGTGCTCCGGAGCAGCCCCCTCCCTCTTGAGATCCGTGTTCACCTTCACAGCTCTTTTGTACCCATTTTCCAAACAGATGGTTTCTTTTGATGAAGTTCTGGCCTTTGTACAAAGCCTCTATTATATGTAGCAGCAGGGGTTTTTTGTTTCCTTGATCTACACGCTCTGTAGGTGTACCACAATATCTAAGCATCATCAGGAGATGACAAAAGGCTGATCTATTTAAACTGTCAAAATTTTGTCTCTAGATCCTCTACCTGTCAACAGCACCGGCTTTATTTGGTGGTGGTACTTTGGAGGATAATTTCTCTGGCATTTTAATTTCCCTCACTCAACTTCTATTCCATTATTTAGATTAAATTGCGCCCTGCTTTGTGGCCTTAAGGTATTTTTTTTTTCCACGCTCCTGTTTTAAACACTACCTGCACTGGGGCAGACAGTCACCCCTGGGGGACCAGCACGAAGGAGGTGTGCAGGAAGGGAAATCTGTGTCTCCTTGCTCGTGTTAAGTGTAGGTATACTGGTATATGCATATTTACATATACAGTAAATAAAGTCCTTTTGCTTATATTAAAATATATTTTTTTAACATATATGTAAATAGATATATATGTATGTACACAAACAATGCAGCACCATAATGGGCAGCAATGTCTGGAAGCAGAATGAGGATCGGGGATGCTGCAATGGGGTCTCGCTGCCTCTTTGCTACTTGCCGGGGTGGTCCTGGGGTGTTGGATTTGACCCGGCAGCAGAGCAAAGAGAGACCAGCACCTGCCTTCAGACCTGCTCCAGCATCTCCCTGCAGAGGCTCTCCCGTCTCTGGTTTGATTGCAGATGCGAGGCCAGCATTGCGAAGCTGTCAGGAGACATTGGTATTATCAGGTGTGAGGCCCAGAAGACTGATAAAGAGATTTATGGCCTTCACTCTGCCCTCAAAAATTGTGTTAGCGATTTTGAGAAGAAGGTGAGTAGGGAAGCCTACAGTGACATACCTGGTGAGTGGTGACTATGCATATATCTCCCTCTATATATGTATCTCTTCCTTTCCTAATTGCTGACCAGTTTTAAAGACTGATATGGTATTTATACAATATGTCGGGATTTTTAGTAAAAAAAAAGTTTTCCATGATACCATAGAATGTAGTGGCGTTTATAACAGATGTAAAGTAACAGACAATAAAAATATACCAGGATTTGGGGATCCTCAAATCATAAATGACCCATTACAGTTTACCAAAATAATTTATAAGACCCCTGAACTCATGGGAAATCTGGAAAATCCAGGTTTCTAAACCTGCAGCACAACGGCTCTCTGCTCCTGCTGCAAATGAGGATTGAGCAGATACAGGACATTCAATTTCTCATGCACCCTAGTATCTAATATAATCTCATTGTTGTGTTTTTGACTGCGATTCTGCAGCACAAGGCACAGTGCCAGTCCTCGTGTACCTACCCAAGATCCTCTTCTCCAAGGAATAATTACTCATGACAGAACTTAAAGGAAGATATCCTACCTGGAATTCTATTAAAAGACACTGTTTGGACATCTGTCTCCTTGAATATCTACGAAAAATGTTCTTCTTCACCTGGGAATGAGGAATGGAGCAGATGTGTGTGTCAGAATTACACAACACAGAACACAAATTCATGTTAAAATAAGTCAGGGTAGACATTGAGCAGGATGCAGAAGAAACTTCCTCAACTGAAAAGGGAAAAAATATTCTCACATGATTGTAGCAAAGAGGAAAGGGTTTATGAAAAGGAGTCAGGTGTTGCTGTAAATGAAGATGGTACCAAGTCAATGTAATGGGTTTTCAGCAGCACCTTTTTGACATTGATGTGCCACAGCTACCAAACAGGCGGTGGCATCTCCTCACCAGAAACTTTTTTGTGCTCATTTAGTGTAAAATCTCCAAAGAAAACAGCTGGGTTTTCACATCCTCTTTCATTTATTAATTAACCAGGGGTAGGCAGGTTAGCCAGGAACGGGCTGAGCCTTGGTCATCGGGTAGTGAAAAGTGTCACTGTGTGTCACTCATTTGTGTATGTATTACTATTTTTATCATCATTATTATTTCCAATATTATTGTAGTTTAGCTATTATACTGTTCTTATCTCAACCCACACGTCTCTTTTCCCTTCACCCCTCTAATTCTTTCCCCCATCCCTGGGCGGGGAGAGGGTGAGCGAGCAGCTGTATGGTGTTGATCTGAACCCGGGTCCCAGCTATAACACCCAGCCACTGCGCTGCGCTCATCCCTGATGTGTCGGGAGCCCGTGGTGTTGCCCTTTGCAATACTCAAATACAGTCATTTGTAGGTGACAGACCAGCAGCTCAGGGCTTGCTAGACCATCTGAGGGCTGAAATAACAACGCTCAGGGAGGATATTTTGAGCTTTTCCTGCCCATAGTTCATTTTTGTGTAGCTGTACCTTGATGTCAGCTGTTTTTTTTTACATGCTTGTCATCATAATGCGTATTTAAATATGAGTGCTCACAGTCAAGCTCACAAAGGTGTTCTCTGTTGAATTCTCATTAGGTCATGCAACTATTAGGCAAGATAGAGACATCCAACACTGATCACAGCTCCAATCTAAAAACAGTCAAGGGAGATCAACATCACAAATTGCAACTTCTGGATCTCAAGTAGGTGATGAAGGGTTTTTCATTATGATAATTCACCCTGAATGTTGTAGTGTGATTAACAGGTTGCCATGAAACAGCAAAACAAACCTGCTTAGCACCCATTCAGAACACTAGAAGATTAATGAAGAACTCTGCCATAAAATAATGAAAATACGTAACAAAAGCATATTGACTTGCAAGGTAATTGTTAGAACGAGGCACTAAATGCCACCCTGTGAGAACAAAGGTGTTAAACCAATTAACTTTCCATGCTGAAGATGCTATTTGCCATTATAACTGGAGTTAATTTGTGACTTGCCTAATGTGCAGAACAGAACATTGTCTTCCTACCCTTGTCTGCCCATTTCTGAGCTGCCTGGGGCAGAGGTGCAGCTGACGGAGAAAGGTGGGCACAGGGTTAAAGAAGCTGCACAGCCTCATGTGCCTATAAATTTTCAATTTATTTGTTTCTTACTTAAGCTGCATAGTTTTCCTGTGGCAGCTGAAGAAGTATTTTTAGGGTGCTGTTTTAATCTCGATGAGTTATAGAGAGGAGGGGGCTCCAGGGAAGGATGTGAGGGACAAAAGTATCTGGGATCCATGTTCAGAACAATGCAGAACCGCCCGGCATTGAATAGCAGAGCCAGCAATAAATAACTTAAAATCTAATTATAATAATCCTGCAATATTGATATTTCAAAGGCCATAGTTCTGCTCCTTAAAATGGTGAAATATTTGAATAAAGATCTATTTTAATTAAGATTTTATCTGAATGGTGTTCATGAGTAAAAATAGGCTAGAACTTTAAACAGAGGAAAGTTCTCATCAAGACAACAGAAAAAAAGGATTGGGGTGAACAGGGAAATAATAGTTAAAGTGGGCAATGAATTAAAACTGGGAAAAGGGAAGGAGGAGCAGGGAGATGGAGAGCAGTGAATGACGGAGATCAAGAGGATGTGAAAGGGACAAGAAATGAAACCAGAATAAGAGGGAAGGAAAAATGGAACACTGCCAGAAAGGAAAGAAATTGGAAAACTATCTTGAAGTACATGCTGAGTTTCTCAAAAGTTAATGAGACCTTACTGCAAAGAGGTGGCTCTCTAGACGCCAAGATGTACTGGCATTGTGTATTTCACACAAAATCCGAAATACCTATTTACTAAAAGCTGGGATTTTATTCCAGTTAATATAAAATGCAATTGTAATAGCATGCCCTCTGGGGAATGTCTGTCTCCTTTTATATTGCCCCTTTAAAGGTCTACTAGATTTATGCATTCTTTTCATAGAGATGAAATAAAACTTAACTTCTGGAACAGACTGGAGCTTCCCCATAAAACTTGGCATGTCTAAGTCAGCTTTAGAGCCCAGAGTTACCTCCTCAGTCGGTATGTGGTTGTCTGGGAACCAGTCCTGCAGTCTGGCAGTTGTATTGTAAAAGTATGAACCAATATTGTTACTGAAAACCTGATGAATTTCAAACACATTTCAGGATTTCATGGGAGTTGTGCCTTGCACAGAAATTCATCCCTTCACAGTTAGGGGGGCGGATCTTTATTCTTGGGGTTGGTGAGGTTGGAATGGCTGCATTCCTCTGCACAGGGTGAATTCATTTGCCAATACACCTGTTTTCACATGAGAAAATTTATTGTCGTACTACTGGAGCTTGCTCTTATTAAATATCCACAAGTATCCCCTTATTAATATTTCAGGGCTCTGCTGGACCAAATAATCTGCTGCTGGAGCTTTTCTCCTGCTAGATATACTTCTGTAAGCTCTGTGCAGAAGGGATGCTAATCAAACACAGCTAAAAATAAAATAAAACATTCCACTGTTTTATTGATAATAAGAAATAATTAATATTATAATAACATTATAGCTAATAATAATAGT